TTAAAACTACTATTAACATAGGTGATAAAATAACAAGACCGACTGACAGACACTCACATCTCGTCTGCCCGTGATCACGGTTGCTGAAAAGTAGCCGAAACGTCGGGATTATGTAGTTTTTATCAAAAATAAAGTCGCGTAGTATATCCGTAAAATATTAGCTTCATACTACATATAAACACACCGGATTTATATCGTTTATACCGGATGACAGAGATCGTTGAATCTTCTAAATACACACAGATACAGGCAGGGATATTATTATATAGGAGTAATGTAAATTGCCTCGTTAGCCTGAAATTAGGTTGGCACAATACCCAAAACGAAACGTTAGAATAATTATGAAAATGGGTAATATTACATTTAAATTTGTATATTTAAGTGCGAATAGGATTCATTGAGCATCCGTTTATCTTATAATCTGTATTTAGTTTACATTAACGATTATTGGCGGTAAAATTATCAATCTGTTTTAATATTATAATTTATTCCATGTTAAAGCTTGAATTACTGACTATTTAGAACAATACAATTTTGCTACTTTTATGTAACTTATATGTTAGTAATTTGGTTTGTTGTAGCCTAGGGTCACAAGTAATAAAAAAAAAACCTAAAAATAATAATGTCAAAAAGACATGCATAATTATTAAATAGAAAAGTAAATTATAAAATTTGTATTTTTTTTTGGTTAGTGTAGACCGTAAATTTAGATGTAAATAATTGAGAATAACATAAAATTACATTAAGTAAGATATGTTAATAGTTTTCCAATAACAAGTTTAAAAAACGTTATTCTGGATAATCCTTAAAATATCAAAGAGACTCAATGAGATTGAATCTATTAATTCGTATTTAATTATCTCCGTATATTTTGAGGCTTCAGGTAAATTTGAATAATAACGAGTCATTGAGTTTAAATCAAAAATAATATTATAAGGCGAAATTGTTTTTTATTGTATCTTTTGATTAATGATATTTTTATCTTCACTTCTTTCATAATTATTTGAGTGAGTTGATGTGAGTTATAAATCATGAAATGTACATATTTACGTATAACTCTCCAATAAATGTTTTTAAGTCAGTTATAATTTCTGCTAAATTTTGATTCACTAATAATATGTACAGCTATTCTTAAAACGGTTTTTGTAGTCACATAAAAAATCGATTCGACCAAATTTTTTTGCGAATATCATCAGGCTGATTAAAATGTTAATAAACATAGCAAAAATATCTTTAACAATTTCACGTTTGTTTCAAATACAATTTTTAATACAGTATTATTTAAGAGTAAACTGAGTTATTTGTCTAAACAAACTTATAAAGGGTTTTTGTATTCGTGTAGACGATTAGGTGAAAAATAGATCAAAAAGTTTGATTTTAACCATTCTAAATCTTTAGTTCAGCTTAAATATAGAATATTTATGGCTAGAAATAACTTTATAGCAGTCGAGAATGCAGCTTGGTGCACGTTCGCAAAATGCTAATTTTACGAATGCTCTACGGTCATTGTGCTGGTTGAGTCGATACATCGCACCGCTAATCGATGCTGGCGCCAATTGGATCGAATGTTTAATCTTACTGAAATGATGCATAACATTACACTGAATGAATAATCATTAGTTTACTACACCACGTCTCTTTAGCGTCTGCTTGAAGTTTTTTCTCGACTTATTCTTCTTAATTTTTAATATAACAAAAACTTTTTTTGTACATATTAAATTCATTTCTAATGTTGTTCTAAAGTATTGACTCTATAAAAATGACAAACTTTTATTAGTATGAATTTTGTAATTATTTTTCTGTTTCCTTATTTGTTTATATAATTACAAAAAACCTTATATAACATGTATGTGTTTAACAAATTTATTTTATAATGTACTAAGAACTAAGACAAGTAGACATCAATATAAGTACCTTTTATAAAAAAACTATATAATGAAAAAGTTAAACGTTAAACTGAATATATATATTTCAAGTTTTAGAGAATGTAAACTAATTGTTCCGTGGAACCTCAATTGAGATACTTGTATTTACTTAAATATTAATTTCAACGTGAATAGGTTCTGTTAATTGCTAAATTTCCTTTATCATAGTTATCTGTTGTTTTCTTGTTATTTCATGTCTTATATATTTTAACTTTATTTCAAAGCAAAAGGAATACTTCTATTTATTACATGACATAATGAAATTTTCTCTCCCTTATTCCTCAATAGATCCATAATAGTTCGTCAATTCCCAGTTAATGATATAATATTATATAATAGAATATATCAATACTTAATAACTATTTTAATTACTTCACGCATCATTAGTTTCTGTAATAACAGTATTAGTTAACACACCCCTCCATTAATTATATAATGGCTTCAGTTTTAGGTCATATTTGAGTTGGGTTGCGGATGGTGGTGACATAATAAGGGGTTGACAGTTTGATTGGATACATCCTGTATGTTACTTTAAAGCAAAATCAGTACAGGAGATTATTGAAAATGTTTACTCATTTTGTTATTACAAACATACAAATCCCATGTTTATACTTCTACATTTTCATAAGCCTTTCAAATGAACGAACTATCAATCTTACCGTTCAGCAGGTTTGCGATTGTAAAAATGATATTATTTTCTTTCATTCCGCTGATCTCAGTGAATAGGTTGGTGTATTAAAACCAATTTTAGGATTAGAACTTTTAGTCAGATTATTTATGTGATGGTCTTATAAATATGTAACAACTAGATTTGCTAATATTTAATGTTTTCCATTCAAATTAACATTCCTTTTTTTAAGGCTTTTAGGGAAAGATTGTAATTAAGATTATTATTAACTTTTATTTTATTACGTTTTGATATCACTGAGCTAGTCAGTGGTGGCCTAGTGGTTAGAGGGTCCGCCTCTCGTTGCCGAGGGCGCGGGTTCGATCCTAGCCCGGGCAAGTACCAATGTGATTTTTCCGAGTCATACCTACGTACTTTCTAAGAATATTTAGACATCACTGATTAATGCATTCCCAAAAAGATGGTTGATGTCAGGCAGGCTGCCGGTCGTTAAAAACAATTAGCCAAAACTATTCACAACATGTTAAGGCAGACCCTGGTTATAACCGGGAAATTGCCAGGTAGAAGAAGATCACTGAGTTAATGTACAAAATTTGTTACTTTATTAGGGTAAAACCTTAAATTTATTACTCAGAGTATATAGGTATTAACTACCTAGTTCGCTATAATAACTTTCATTTCATATTTGATTTATTCAGTCATGACTTTTATCGTACTATGCTTTGTCATCCGAGATGAATGCTATGCGTATTCAAATATAAAACATACTCGCTTATAATACATACATTCTCTTTGATATAAAAGTGAAATATTCTTTAAAAGTTTCCTTAACTTCTCATATTTTTCTTTCATTAAATACTTTAAAGAAATAGATAATTTTAAGCCGTAGAGATAGATATACCAAAATCTTTTTGTATAAAGATATATATAAAGAAGACAAAGTATCTATTTAACTTAGTGTTTCCATGGAGTAATAAGGAAAACGGGAGAAAGTCACTTTATGCCTCGGTTTTCTTATTAGTATCTGTAATTAATCCTTAATGAAACTTCTTATTTCTCTTTATATTCAAATAAATGCTGAATCAAAACATATGCTTGTGTTTTTTTTTATTCATTCTGACTATTAATTAGGTTTATTTAGTAAATGAAATAGTTATTGATAATGTTCACGGACCGTGAAATTTCAGATCGCTGCTAAGACTTCTAACTTGGTCCAAAAAATGGCTGTCATAGACAGCAATCGATCGAGATCAAAGGCCTCAAGTGGTTTAAAACAAAAGATTATTCTGCGTCTGTTTATAATATCAATTTAAATCTTGGTATTTTTCACAAATAATTTTTTATCTCTATTATTGTATTGTAATTTTATATGAGAAAGAAAAACTATTTCTAATTTAATTGAAACGGTGTAAAGAATATTAAAAGGTATCAGAAAAAGCTAGTGAAAAAACAAACTAATTTTATTTTCCTAAATCAAAACTGTACTGGAAAATCCTAACAAAAACAGTAGTGTCTTTTTTACAAAATAGAGTGTCGCCAGCACTTTATTTTTTTATGGCAAGGGTGGCGAATGATAAACCGATTTGGGAACTTTTAGGCTCGCGACTTGACGTTCATTGTATGCGTATTTTAGCGAAACGGTGTAACAGATTTGGTAAAAAAATATATTAAAAAAAATCTAAATATTGGTCCTAAATAAAGACTAAATTAATAAGGTGATTATCTAAAATTTACTTTTCAATTGATTATAACCAATCAATGGATATATCATTTACAAAATATTTTGCCCTTTTTCGTTTAAAAAATGGTATATTAGAGAAAGAAATCAGTAAGTATTTGAAGACGGTATTAAAGTTTTTTAATAATAATAATTGTTCTGTAATAAAATCTTTGTACTGAATTTATGAACGAATTTTTGCGTTAGCAGAAAATTAGAGATCTGTGTAAATAAGAATAATACATAATTAATAAGTCATGTCATTCAAATAACATTTCATATGTTGACAGGCACACTAGGAGGTTTATTTTAATGAAAAATTATAATTTGTTTTAAATACCATCATGATCCTTTATGTTTTTTGCCTGTAATATGTAAGAATATGAAAATTATTGCTAAATAATAAATACATCGACAAGCTGAAAATAGTCTCACAGCCGGAACGTGTTAAAGGCAATATATGGAAACCATATTCTCGTTAGGGCTAGATGTGAAGCATTGTAGAAAAATAGCAATCTCCGAGTCACGTTATGTATTTCTTAATATAAATAAGATTCTTTTAGGTAAAAATATATTCTAATACACTAAAATATTGAAAAAGCAAGAATTTCAAATGATCTACTTGCATGGTATACTATATGATTATCAATTTGTATCCTCATTATCTATTTTAACTTAAAACATACCGTTATATGAAAAAAACCTTGAGTGTTTGATTGTAAATACTCACGTGTGCCATCAAAGCGTGTAGCTATAGTATCGAGGAAGGTGTTTTGGGGCGCAAGGAGCCCCTTGCGAACCGGCATCACCCCTCGCCGCGCCCCCCGCGCTTATCCTGTAACCGTAATAAACAATTAATCTTAAGAAATCGAAATTTCACGAAGAAGATAATTTGTTTGTAAGTTTGGGTAGCAGATTTGGGTATATAAGTTGAAGAATTATCTTTAGTAATCTACCAATGATCGTAAATAAGCTTCTGAGACTTTAATTCTGTCTAGAAAGGGTTATTTTTAATTAAAATCTTGATCTCTCAAAAGATGTCTTGGTTTGAACAGTAAAATTAAGTTACAGTCTAACATTTTCTCTGATTATATATTTGTGATATATGTACTGTATATATAAAATCGTATATGTAAGATATATAAAGGTCTTATTTGAAATAGTAATATATTATTGTTATGTATGTAAATATAACAGCGTTGAAAAGGTGTAATATATAAGTGAACTTTCTGTATTCCAGTCTGATATTTTGTGATTTTAGTTCTCATGCCTCGAATGTCGCGTTGTGGCTGTTTTTAAGACAATGCGAAAGAAAAAATGTTTCAACGTATTGTTAATGTATGAATGCAGAGGTTTTTGTTATTTTTCTTTTCAGTGTTTGGAATTCATATTTTTATTTATTTTTTAATACTCAGCCATCACTTTATGAATTCGAATAACTTCTCATATCTCAATAAATGATTATTTTCTCTTTTCAAACTTTAACAACAGTACAAGTAAAAGCAAAATTGAAAATTAAATCTGAATGAAAGAAAAATCTTCTTAAAGTAATAAGATACGGCTTCTGGAGGGATATATTTTCCGAGTGTGTTCATTATTGATATTAGTAAAGTATGATTACTTTTTTTGGGACGAAAATTTTCTGAAAGCAATGAAAATTAATTTATAAGTTATATTTATCTATATAGTACAAAAATACTAGGTACATGAAACATTTAGATAATACGCTGGTAATTATACTTTATATTAAAATCAATGACAAGTTGCACAGTAATGTATATAAATAGATGCATAATAATAATTAATGACTTGACTTTTCTCAATCAAGGACTGTGGATTTCAGTTATGTTCCAAAATCCAAGACCCGGTCTACGTAAAATGTTTCTATATTATTTACAATCCATTTAATTCTCAGCTTATCAGAACCATTTAATATGAAAGTAAAGACGTATGAGGAGTTTTATAATAAATAATCCATTAAAATGAAAATGAAAATTCAAAATAGTTATTATTGATTATTTAATTGAACCAAGAATTTAATAAGCTGGTAATTTTACGAGTTATTTATTTTTATGAAGACCAGTTTAATATAATAAGAATCCGATACAAATTCTAATTAAACGCGAACTGCCACCATCCTCGTTTTCATTAGTCGTTTTATAAATCTTCTCGTGTAATGAAATCTCTATTTAAGGTGACCCATAAATGGTGCGTTAGAATATGCTAGCAACCTTTCCACCTTCTCGTAAATTTTTTATGTTTCATAAATGCTGTAATAAATATGAATTAATGGATTTTCTAGGTTGTGCCCTTTTGTTAGACATTTTCCTATAGCACGAGTCGTTGGATACGCTGATTGAAACAATAAAAACAAGCGTAAATCTATCAACACCGACTTGGATATTGATAGTAACCGGTCCTAAACTGTACCTTTAAACGTCGCGAGTAAATCAAGTATGTGTGTATTACTGTTTCTTAACAACGGAAAATGTTAGTTTATTACGTATATAATTATACGATAAATCGTATAATTATATATAAATACTAAATACTATATAAATATAGTCTGTGCATATACGATTCATATATAATCTGTGTAGTACACGATAAATATTAAAATGGTATATAAACTTTTTGCATCAAAAGTCACTCGTTCTTTAAGTTTTGCCACTTATTCGAATATTCACTGTACGGACTTTTCCACTTTATACATTTTATATTTGAATAAGAAAACCTACAGTGAAAGTCTAATTAAAGATTGAAATTTATATTATATAAAAAAATCTTATTTCTACATCTAACGAGAAGAGCTGCAGTTTGAGTAAACATAAAAAAAAAAAAAAAGCAATTTATTCTGGCCAGCAATTTGAATAAACTTTTCTGTGCTGAAGTTCTCGTTACCAAAAATTTTATCTTTATAGGTTTCACTGAGCTTTATTAAGTTTATAGTGAGTTTCAATTTTATGTTGTTTTCATATTGTTCATGAAAAATAATTTAATTATTTCTGAAATTATATTCGATGCACCTGCAGTGGCTCTTTTTTTTATTTTAATTTCGGTATATACTATGACACAATTTAGTATCGAGTGGTTAAATTCTTTACATAGAAAATAAAAACTATGGTGGAGGTATAGAAAATCATAATTATGAAATTTATATTGATGTTTTATTTAGACGAAGTCATGTTAATGAACAAAATTATTTAATATTGAAGGGGAAATCCTATCTGAACTTTTAGTAATAAAATTTCGTTATATAGATAATATTAAATTTCTTTGATTGTGCGTTTAGTCAAGTGTAATTTTAGTAAAGTAAAATTAGATTTGTCTTTTGTGGTTACGGATGAAAATTTTGCTAATAATAGTGAGAATCTGAGATAATAAGTAATAATGATTTGCCCTTTCCATATCATAACTCCTTTTTGCTTTCGTATTTATTTCGCTTTATACTTTATATTATATTCAAACAATATAGGAACTGTAGGTAGGGAACTGTAGGTAGTTTCTGCAGATGTATTTATTGAATATCAAATGGGAGAGGTATAATTATTTCAATCGATCTCGTAACAAGCCTCCTCGAGTATCTCGAGACTGAGTTCGCATTGAGTATCGCAATTATTTCTTTTCGATAAAACTTTATGGTGAATTGAATCCTAATTCACTGTTCTTGTGAGATATTGGAATCAATTTGAATTTAAAATGAGATATTTTAGAAACTCTCTCCTTTCTTATGTGAACGAATGAGTGCGCTGATAAAATATAATGTTTTTTTAAAATCTTAATCATAAAGGAAGAACAGAATTTTACCTCATCAAGAGCGCCTATTTTATGAATATCGGCTTACCGAAGTGTCCATATTTCGGGGATTTACATCGTTAACGCAACCCCAAAAGATTTTACAAGTTTACCCTATAACTTTTGTGACGTTTCTATACCTCCACATTGATCTTGTTTATGGAGCTTCTGATCTTAAGCTTGGGACTTTCAGTTTTAACTAAGCATATTCACCATTTTCATCCTAAAAATGATACAAAATTCAGGTTAAATAACAAGGGTTAACCGATTTATTTTTACGTTTTTTTTAATTTATCTTTTTCTTAATCTTTGTCATCAATCATCACTAGTATTATTACGATTTATCTTCAAACGCAATAGCAGCCTGAAACGTTAATTTTTTAGAGGTTTTCCATTTGTAAACAGGTAACAGCTAAAAAGATGTCATCTGTACAAAATATATGGTTAACCTGTCAATGCCGTGTAAATGGTCTAGTGTAAAATTATCTTCGTGTTCACATAAGCAGAAGCACCAATATTATGAATACATTTTTCACGAAGACAAAAGACGTAGAATTTTTCAAAATTAGTTAATCTTATTATTCTATTCCATTGTTATTAAAATGTTATTACTCTAATTCTTGCCGTAATATTAATAATAAAAACTCAATAAATAGAATCAGACAAAAGGCAAAGGAAAGTAAATACCTTAATATCATTTATTAAATAACGAATTTTAGACAATATATACTTATATTGTCAACCCACAAGATAGGTAGGTAGGTGGGTACCTACCTACCTATCTTTTCTCAGAAAAGATTAACTAATTTTGAAAAATTCTACGTCTTTTAAGGTCTTCGTGAAAAATGTATTCATAATATTGGTGCTTCTGCTTATGTGAACACGAAGATAATTTTACACTAGACCATTTACACGGCATTGACAGGTTAACCATATATTTTGTACAGATGACATCTTTTTAGCTGTTACCTGTTTACAAATGGAAAACCTCTAAAAAATTAACGTTTCAGGCTGCTATTGCGTTTGAAGATAAATCGTAATAATACTAGTGATGATTGATGACAAAGATTAAGAAAAAGATAAATTAAAAAGATAGTATTCTATTTAGGTATATTAAATCTATTGTATGTCATCCAAGAATAAAAAACAGCACCTTAATGCCAACAGCATAACATTTTTGTAGCGTTGTCATATTAGACTTATAATTTAATTTTAAATGTGTTGTTATTTTAACCCCTCAACCCGAATCAACATTTCGACACCCTGACTAAGGATTTTTGGCCTACGGGTATAATTCACCCAATTTCGACAGAATTTGTAATGAAAGCTCGGGACAGGTACAAGCGAAATAAAACGTTACAGCCTTTTGAAACCTTTTGAAACTTGGTTTACCAAAGTTAGAAATTACTAATCTTTAAGGTATGATTATTTGTGGTAAAAAGGGTCTGGTTCAAAAGATTTGTAAGAAATTACAAAAAAAATAAATAAATTTAAATAACAATTTCCAATTACAAATACTCTGCTCGCAAACGTTATAGAAATCATAAACTATGTTATATATCGGAAACAGTTGTAATATATTCAAATTATTTACAAAATATATCTTCTTCTTGCTTTTTTATAGGATTAGATTTTATAGTTTTGGGTTGCCAAACGACATAAAAAGCTAACTATGACTTACACATAATAAATTAAATTAATTTAGAAAAAAAGGTCTCAAAGCTATGATTCAAATCGTCTTTTTTATCTGTATACACTCTATAGTAATTAAATATAGTATTCCCAAAGTTATTATTGTTTTTTTGGACTCTTTTGACTGTATCGTGTACCTTAGCACCTCGACTTTCTAGAAAAATACTATAAAAGTTAACTTTATCTAAAGGTAGGGCCTTTTTGTTCCATTGTTAAAGTTATCTACGTGAGGCTCTTAAGGAAATCAAAATCTAAACACTATATATATATTTAAACAACAGTTTCCTAACAATAAAATTAGTTTTATATGTATTTATTT